GCATCGGCAGGCGGACTCTCAACCACTGTGCCACCAGGGAAGCCCCTAAAAGTTATTATTTTTTTGTACATACTTCTTCATGCCTAGTCCATCTAGCTCAGGGTTAGTTCTGTTTCCTGGTTAAATAAATTTGGAAAATGCTGGGTTAAAAAATTAAGTATACTTTTTGATTACAGGACTTCTTTGAGCCAGTAACAGATTAATATGTATTTTAAATCTCCAAGAGAGAGACATATATAGTGTTTATTGCTTCACAAACTTATTTGCTCATGGTACCCTTTTTTTTTTCCTGTATAAAATTTGTTACAGAAAGTCTACAGGAGGTACTTTGAAAAACATCGTACCTCTTTTCTTCTTTGTAGTTTTCAAATTTCACATTTTTTAAAATAGGGTGAAAATTTATCTTCAGAAACACTGTTTTAGATGTTCCAGACTTCTTCTTAATAATATAATATTGTACTTTTATGTTATAAATAGAGACTAAATATATAAAAGGCAATTTTTCCTCAAACATGTTCCATGATTCTTTATCTTTCTATGAATAGAGGACAAAATATACTTCTGAAAATTTATGTCCCTTCTAAGTGCTTATGCCATTAGTAGTAGTGTTTTATTACATAAGAATAAATTTGAGATCTTCTTTTACATGTAATTATACACAACTCACTGGTCATTTAATTTAATTTTAACTTAACTCTAATTCTAGACACATTTATGTATTAACTTTTTAAATTTTTCATTCATGAAAACTCCCATTGTAGCTTTTATAATATTGCTGTTTCTTTTCTGTAATTCTTGCCTAATAACCCACGTGGTCTTTATATGTTTCAGCAGTAAGGCATTGTCATGATTTGTTTGGGTATTGTATTTGTTATTCTCCAATAATCTGGCCTAAAGCAAAATCTGAAATCCTTTTTTTTTGTTAAACTGACATTGGCTACTGAATCAAAAGAAAGTATCAAAGCACGTTAATTCCACTGAGTGTGTGGGCATTCTTAAATGAAAAAGAGGACTCCTAAAATACCAAAAATTCTGTTTTGTTTCAACGTTTGTATTGCTCCTTTATTAATAGGCTAGTGTGTTCTCAAGCCCTTGACTAGTATTATTTCAATTAATTAAAAGCTTGTTAAAAGCCTCAGAGAAAACAAACTATTAAACTTAACTGCTCTTGATCTTCTGTTCAAGAGATAGAAGATCTCTCATTTTCCTTGTAACAGTTATTAAGATGAATTGATAATCTTGGATCTAACTCCAGAGCTCACTTGAGAGATCTAGAGGGAAAAAATTCTTATTTTAAGAAACATATCCTTTCCAGGCACTTATAATTATAAACAAGGGCAGAATGTATGGTTGGATAATAGCTAGTGAAAGTGCAAAGGAACTTTATTAATAAGCCGTAGGTATATACTATAAGTACCATTTGTTTTAGAGTTTAAGGGGATTTGATTTTTTTTTTTTTTTTTTTTGCTGTACGTGGGCCTCTCACTGCTGTGGCCTCTCCCGTTGCGGAGCACAGGCTCCAGACGCGCAGGCCCAGAGGCCATGGCTCATGGGCCCAGCTGCTCCACAGCATGCGGGATCCTCCCAGACCGGGGCACAAACCCGTGTCCCCTGCATCGGCAGGCGGACTCTCAACCACTGTGCCACCAGGGAAGCCCGGGGATTTGATTTTAAGTGAGCATATGAACTGACTTGGTGGCTGAAACAGTGGAAAGAGGTCAGTAATTATTTGTTGAATGATTAATGTAGTCCTAGTGGTCACCCTTATTACTTCAGACATGAAGCCTGAGTGTAACAGTTTAATATGATAGTTTTTCCACAAGTATTCTGAGTGCTTTTTGTAACAAAGCTACTTTAGAAAATAGATTGGCCTATATATGCAAGGGATTAAAAGGATATAAGACAAGTAGAAGATAAATTTCCTTCCTTCCAGAAGCCACATAATAAATATTAATAAGACCTCTATCTGGCTGGCATGGTTCCAGTCTGGGAACCATTGTTGGCATGGTTCTTGATTATAATTTTGTTATGCCTGTTAAATGAATGGCATGGTGTGAAGGAAGTAAGTGGGGAAGGCCAAAGTTGACTTTTTAAAACTAGTGTTAACTTTAACAACTTTTTTTGGGAATTTTTATTTTGCCTGAAGTGTGCTCATTTTTTCCCCCAGATCATGTGATTGGGAAATTAGGCTCAACCCTCCTGGTCATGCTTACCCAAGAGCTTATTATTCAAAGTAAGATACTAGAAGTCAGTTTCATTCTGTTTCTATATGGTTCAAATTCTAAAATTTATGGACTTGTTATCTTTTTTTAATGTTGGTAGCCATTTTTGATACTATTTAATGAATGATTAAGGAGAATATAATGAGCATTTTATCTTGAAAAGATTTAAGTAAATAAGGCTTAAAATAATGTGGAGAAAAGTATTCTAGTGTATTTTTTTCCTTATAAAGTGATCAGTTAATATGAATCATATTAAGAATTCCTGAATTTGACCATCAGTACTCAAATGAATGTTAGACTTAATTAGATTTTTAAAATATGGAATTGAAGTCTTAAAGCAAATAGAAAAGGGAGACAGATCAAGAACTTGAGAGTAGTAGTTCAGAAAGCCTCTAAAAGCTTTGGGCACAAATAAAGATATCCCTGGTTGATCTTTTATGTGCCCTGATTAGTGTTAATGCATACTAAGCACTTGGCCTTACTGATAGTAGTTCTCATAAATAGAAAGACTGTTTGAGACTGAGATGTAGTGGAGCTGATTACAAAATGATCTAGAAATGCTAAAACATTGGTCACATGCCCAGTCCATTTAAATTGTATCCTTGTATTCTTAGGAAATAAGCAAAGCAAAGAAAAATTCTCATTGAATGTGTTTAAAATTAAAATATATAATTCCCTAAGAAAAATTAAGGAATGATACAAGAAACTTGAGACTGAGAACTCTAAATTTTTTTAATAGAAAATTACTTATAAAAGGCTACAATAAAAGCATTTCAGATATAATTTAGAAATGAATATAAGATTTAAATTTCAGGAAAATGATATGCATATTTTCCTATTGATTTGTTAAAAATACTTAAAATTGGCTATGAAAAGACTGAATATTCTGTTCATTCTAATGATTATAACTGCTTTAATGAAATTAATGACTGAGGGAAGGTATTTAAGATAAAAATGACTACAGAGTAGGTTAAATGTAGATTTGGTATCTTGATTCTTAAGCATTTTTCAAAATAATTTTCATAATGGTATAATTTAAAAGGTTTGACTTAAACTGCTAAACAAAAATTTTTTAACAAACTGCTTTAAATAATTTCAATTATAAGAACAAGTTTTGCTCTCTGAAATGATAATTGCTATTCTTTGAAGTTCCAATAAATTTCACATAAATGGCAAAAATACTTCTGATATTGTCTACTGCCAGTTGCCATTCTTGGACCCAAGGCTGAGGAACATTTTCAGATTCTGTGTGCTTTATCCTGAAAGAATTTGATGAAAAGGGGTCACTGAGAGAGTGAAATGTCTGCTCTGCTTGGCCTTTGAAAGAAGGGGAGAGGGCAGGGCTAGTCTTGGGCAAATTACTTCCACCTCCCTTTTTGCCCCTGCTTCAGCTCCAGGGGAGCTGGAAATGCACAGAAGGAGTCAGAAGACCTGGGTCGAGTCCTGGCTCTGCCACTTACTACCTATGTGACTTTGGGTAAGTTATTTAATGTCTCTGGGTCTCAGCCTCAGTACAGGGTTGTTGTGAGGATTAAGTAATATGATCAAAGGAAATGTGCTTTGTAAACTCCCAAGGTCTATAGAAATTTAAAATTTTATTATCATAACCTGGCCTTCTTCTTCCCAGTTCTTCCATAGTCTGGTATCCTTGGCTATGCATTTTTAAAGCAGCCCAAAATGACAACTCCTTTTGCTTTTCCCTGTATCCTCTCCATATTGAAACTCTTATTCCTGTCCTCTGCATGCTTCAGACTTAAGTATTCTAAGAATATTAAACCAGACTGGGTAAATTAATCTTCACTGTAGTGTGGATTGTGTTGCCCCTTTCTACCCTTCCCACTCTCACCTTTCTTCTTTAATCTTCTCAGAATTGCGCACTTAAAAACGTCGAAAAATCTCCAGTGCATGGAAATTTGCACAGTGTTGGCAGAAGTCCCTTAAATCGTGTTACCCAGATCACTTCTGCATTAGTTAGTAACGTTGATTGGGTAAATGGGAAAATGATTGTGTCTCTTGTCCTTTCTTTTTTCTCTGTGGGAAAGGAGATGGAAATAGTTCAGAGTTAAAAATTCTTCTGAAATCTCACTGATAAGCTAGATCCTAAGTTGGGGAATAATCATAGAGAGGAGACAAGGGATTTAGTGGCCATTTCTTTGGTCAGCTCTTTGAGTTATATCTGACTTGGCCTCATCTTTGATGCTCAGTAAACTCTAGCCTACCCTCAGTCAAACTAAATTTATAACACCTGTTGTCTTTACTGGGCGTTCAGTTGATAGAGCCTGCATGGAGCTAAGGAGGAAAGAATTTGCCTTCTGCATCACATCTGGTTTCAGATCAAGGGATCTTTAAGAGGCCGTAACGAGAGCTTGTAGTTCTACTTGATCCAGCCTTCCCACATAATCTAAGAATGCTTGATTTGGCTATGTGTCAATGATGGTAATAATAGCCCCTTATGTTAACTGCTTGCCATTAATGCCTAATTACCATGGAGCACAATAACAGTTACTCATGTCATGATTAGATTAACTTTCTTAAAATTTTTATTTTATTTTATTTTTACAGCCTTGAACCATTGACTTATGCTCAATATGGTTTCTTGCTGAAGTAGCATTGTCATCTTTCTTAACTAAAAATTAGAAATATTGAACTCTAGTGGCAATCAAATGCAAATTGAAACAATAACAGTGTTAAATGTGTGAATTAATGGGAAAAAATTAAATGATAATGTTCATGCTGGCAAAGATGCAGTGACACGAGTACTTTTATACATTGCTGATGGCAGTGTAAATTGGTGTGATCTTTCTGATTTTTTTCCAAGCCTTAAAAGTGTTCATTCCCTTTAAACTAACAATCCCACAGTTGTTAATCTCTGCTAGTGAGAGATCAAAGGAATAAGTGAATTTCTGAGAGATGATCATTGCAGCAATAACAGGAAAAACTAGAAACTACTTAAATGCCTAACAATAAGAATGGTAAAATAAAGCATCATTCATCAGCTGGGTGAAATATTTTACAATTGTGATAAAAGATCATTATGAAGGCTGTAATATCATGGGAAATATTTATGATGACTGAATGAAAGCAATTTATAGAGTTGAGAA